GCACCCTCGTGCATGAGAAGCGGGCGTCTTGAACCTCCGGGCCACGGTCATCGCACTTCTAACAATCATGGCGCCGGCGCGGCTCCGGCTCGGCGTTGTTTCGAATTTGCTTACCGCTAGCCGTCAGCGCGCTTACGGCAAGGCGAGCCGCCGGCCCGCAAGTTGTGCTTGTTAGGTGAACGATGAACTTCAAGCTCACAAGAAAAGTGCCTAGGAGGCCTGGTTACGATCTCCGGCCACCGTAAACACGGGCCTGCGGACGGCGAGTATGGGTAGCTCGCCGCCTGACCAGAACCAGACGCGAGCATGCGGCGCGTCGCGTTCTGCGCGCGCCTCAAAGAGCCATCAGATCACCACGGATGGGGCCCAATAGGGCTGATGCAGATACGAAGCTGCGAAGGACTTAACGGGTTGCCAGGGCTCCGGCTCAAAGTGCAGGAACGGGGTGGTTTTAAGTAAGATTCTGACACTCCCTCCCGCCACACCCAAGCGAGAGAAGTTATTCGATGATTTCCTCACATTCCTAATCCCGGTAAAACAATTCTAACGCCTCTGGTTTTCCAGGTGTCCATGGGTGACGCCGTTTGCTTACCATCAGGTGACCCGTCTGCTCGTTTACCAGCTTATCCAATAATAAAAAAAATATACATAACAAGTTCAAGATAATACCTAATTTTGTATAAAATTATCTAATCTTTAGAATTCATTACAGTACCGGAACTACTTAAATATTTCCTAGTATTGCGACATTGATATAGTTCATGATTCATAACCTACTTCCTTTCAAGTCTAGCGTATGACTGCTGTTACAGCCTAAAGTAGGATGTCGCGTAAACAGAAAAATGTGTGTTGGTGAAACCGTACATTTTTTTATGGCATGAGCCGGTAGATGAGCGTACGGATCACCTGATGGTAAGTAATCAGCGTCGCCCATGGACACCTGGAACACCAGAGGCGTTATAAGTGCGTTACCGGCCTTTTGGGGATTAGGAGTTTGAGGATCGTTGTGGATTCAGGGATTGGGGAAGGGCAGGGTAATTGGGCCTCCGGTTACCTTACTCACACGACGAAACACAACGCAAGCGTTGCTTCCCGTCGGTTTTCTGCTCGGCTGTGGTATCACTCCGGTCGAGCCGGCCCATTCATGCCGAAGCATGGCTCTCCCACAGTTAAATACATATTGGCAACCCCTAAAAGAACTTGCGGTGAGTTAAAAGAGAGAAAGAACTATAAGCCTCCTTTACATAAGAGGGGTTTGCCATAATTTTCACGCTTAGCAAGCGGGTTAGAGATCGCAGTTTAAAAGGTTCAGGTTTATCAGAGAGCGCTGCTGCCCGCTCTCTGTCAAATGTGTAGTCTCTTAGTCGGGTATACGACACCCGCGGGAAGAGTAACGGAGGTGGTGATGTATTCCACTCCACCATCACCAAAACATTGCTAAACTGCAGATAGAAACTTTGTTTGAAAATCATTCACTGTGTTATAATTATTCTATGACACTTGCAGAGAGAGGCAGTGTTAATATTTTGTCCGAATTAAGAACTGAGGGTACGTACACACGGCCCCACATCGATCTATACAAAACCGGTTTATCCTGGTGTCGCGTCGCATCATCTTTCCACACATTTAACGTTCAGTTTATATTGGTTATGTAAAGCTATATGTAGCCGTGTGTACACAAAACTGCGATGCGACGTCGCATCGCAAAAATATGCGAGCTCCCTCTACGCATCGCAAGAACTTGCGAATTGATTCGCATCAAAATTTTATCTTCCCAAAATCTTCTTTGTTTCTTTTTCCTGTATCTCCTAAGCAATAACAGAAGTGCACACTTCTTTTTACGATCCATGTCACGACCTAGTTTTCAATTTAAAATACGTTTAGTACGGTTGACGGTCGTCGAAGGAATGGTCACCCTGGGAGACGCCTTGTCGCACGAAATCGCATCGCAGCAATTCGCATCGTAATTTTTTGCGTTGCGA